ACTTTGAACCCATTGTAGAACATTAAGCACTATTAAATTTTCATTTCAAAGTCTCAAGGAAGTTGATTACGCGTAAAGAAAGCGAATATTTGGTGCAAATCTTATTTGAATCCTTCAAAACTATTCATTCAAGGCTTCTCAAGATAATTTTTCCAAGCCTAATTTTAGAAAATCTGCATGTAACAAAAGTCCTACATCAAATCAAATTCTACAAAATCCTGTCATTTAGAAGATTTCAATGTTGTTTATTACCATTCCTTGTTTTTGAATTGCGTATTTTCGTGAGCACAAATATGACTCATCCTGAAGTCGTTTAGAGTGATGGCAATTACATACATCGTACGAAAAATTTTATCTGAGTTGATTTTAAAAGCATTTGATATTGTTCTGAAAAAAACCTACATGGACTCTGCTCCGGCTCTTCTTCAATACTAAGGAGAGTCAAGAGCCCGGACCTACACTGCGTTAAGTTAGGGAGCAAAAGGGAGTTGGGACAGATCAGTTTTCAACTCAGTTCATTTTCAGTAACTAATTTTTGACATATTAGAGATTTTGTGTTATACATTTCGATTCTTTGAAGTAGCATTATGAGCGATAAAGCTGAGGAGATAGTCCTGAAACGTCGAGAAAGCTTTTGCAGTGAAAATGACAATCTTTGGAAGCTTCATGGTTGACCAATTTGAAATCACAAGATTAATGTATATTTTGTAAGTGTCATTCACAACTCACGGAATTATTGCCTAATAATTATCGCCGCCATTGCCATTGAAATGCTTGTATTTTAGACAAACCAAAAATAACAGATGTAGTATACAGTTACCTGAAAGTATTAGTGAAAAGCTTGAATTTTTCTGAAGGTACCAAATAAAGTATGCGTAGCATGGTATGATAAGGAAGAGGTTTGAAGAAATTACGTGGTGTTGAGTGTGGAAAAAGTTTTGCAATGTGTCATATCTTTTATGTGTACAAGACTTGTTTAGGTGGTAATACCACGGATCCGTCACCTGTCACCACATCATCACCGTTGTCAGGTTTGAGCACTTCTTTTTTATTATTCAAATAACGAGATGACCATTTAATCCATTGATGATGACGCCTAATTCTGCGTGACTGCGCTGTGGGATACGCGATTTTGCACAACATTTTTGGCGTTGGAAAACTTAGTGACTATTTAGAAAAGTAGAATTGTTTTGTTAACAACTACAACCATTTGTTTGGACGACGAGGTTACAGGTCCCAAGCGTGCAAGAAAATTGGAAAATTATTGAACTGTGGGAAACCTGGAAAGATGTGATTTTGCAAGAGGTTGGGCCACCTGTGGTCCACATCGTCGTCAGTGGGTTAGTAGTATTCGCCCTTAGCAGCAGAAATTGCGGATAGTCTTGCTATTCAAAATTTTGCGATACTATTTCTATATCAACCGGATATTATTTAATAAACTTTTCGCACACTATGGTGCGCTTGCGTTGCCGAGAATCTGCAGCAAAATTTGCTCAAACAAATCGCCTACTGCCGGGTATCTTGCCCGCGCAAGTGGACGGCAGCCCAAGTGGACGGCATAACGGGCGCAGCTATTCATGTACAAGCATATTTTACCGCAAAATATGGCACCGCAAGCACATTATACTGAGTTGAATATCTATAGATTGTAACTTTTACAGAGGGCACATGGTTTCCCACTACACTCCAACCAGCTTCCACTATAGATATCACTGGAACTCAGCTACATTCTTCGACTCCTACCAAATCCGATCCCAAGATCACCACTAAGCCTCCGCCAGTAACACAGACTCCCACCAAATCTCCGCCAGTAACCCCAACTCCCACTAAACCTCCGCCAGTAACCCCAACTCCGACTAAATCTCCGCCACAAACTTCAACTGCAGAACCAGGTGAGTT